GAAGAAGAAGAAGAAGAAGAAGAAGAAGAAGAAGAAGAAGAAGAAGAAGAAGAAGAAGAAGAAGAAGAACAACTGGAAATAATCAGCAAAAGGGAGGCACTAAGATTAGGGAGGACCAGTAAAGTTTCTTCAGCTGAGACTCAAAGGAAGACAAGGAAGCTAAATGAAAATGCCTACAGTTGGGAGATGGCATGCTGGTTTTGAGGAACAGCAAGGAGCTAATGACTGAGGAAGACCCAGCAAAGGAGTCAGAAAAAGAAACAGGAGAAAGAGGAGAGGGCGGTGTCACAAAAACCTGGAGATAAGACAGAATCAAGGAGAAGAGGGTGATTGACGATGTCAAAGGCTGCAGAGTGGTCAAGAAGGATGAGGATTGAGAGAAGGTCATTCGATTTGGGAATTAAGAGACCTTTGGTCACTTTGGAAAGAGCAGTTACTGTTGAATGATGAGGTTGGAAGCCATACTGCAGAAAATTAAGAAGAGAGTGAGAAGGAAGGAAGTGGAGGTATCAAGTTGTAGAGAACCTTCTAAAGGAGTTTAGCCACAAAAGGGAGGAGAGAGGTGGAATAAAAGCTAGTGGGGATGGATGGATCAAATGAAGGGTTTTTTTGAGGATGTAGGAGACACAGGCATGTTTGTGGACAGTAGGAAAGCAATCAATGGACAGGAGAAATTGAGGATAAGTGAGAGAGTAGGCCTAATGGAAAAGATGAGATGGAATGGGATCACTTGTGCATATCAAGGGGTTTGCCTTGGCAAGAAGGGCGTTTTCCCTCTCCTATCACTCAGATTCTTTCCCCTACTATCTTCTCCTTCACCTTTGTCTCTGAAGAAGTGGCCCTTCTTGCCAGAGCAAACCCCAGAGGTGAAGGGAGGAAACTTTTTCATCCGTCCTCAAACCTCTCATAACTCTCCCTTCATCCTCTTAGCTGAGAACTTTACCTTATATTTCACTGAAAAAATTGAGGCCATTTGAGAAGATAGCCTTATTTTTCCTATAAACCTCCATATGCAGATTGCGTGGATTGTCAAGGTGTTCAGATAATGAGACCCTACTCACTGCCTGCAGCACTCTTCTGGTACTTTAAATAGGTTGCATTTATTTAAAGCAGTGCTGAAATCCAGAGATGTTTTCTGGGTCAAGACAGACAAGAGTTGTAGTATCCACTTTCTCAACGTCTCTTAGGGATTCTAGATTCATTGTGACATAATGAAAATATGGGTAGTCCTCATTCAGTTTCTAGAGGCCAGTCCCTGAATGTATATGGTTCAAGTGACCTTTGTAAAACTATTGGAATGTAATTGTCATTCAGGAGTTGCTCTGTAGCACATCAGTAACCTCTTCATTCTTATCAGCGCTACATGGGGTCTAGAAAGGATGAGTCTTGGAAAGAAAGGATCCAGAAAAGAATGTTGGGATTGAGATTATGGTTTTTGGAAACATAGAACATCTCCATTCCTTCATCCTAATCTCCACTTACTACTGTTGATTCAGTGGAATTCAATTTTTGAAAAAATTATTCTGTATTATTCTCTTCATCACATTTATCATGCATGCAGTCCATAGTTGTTCAGAAGGCAACTTAGTCTTTTTGGCTATATTCCATACTGTTTCCACAACCTTGACATCTAATCTCTTTTTCACTTTCTGGGAGAAGTGTCATTAATTTGTTCAGAGGTTCAGCAGTTTTGCCTGAACTTCATTTGTAAGGTGAATTGAGCTGAAGTAGAGTCTCTTTTGGTCCCCATGGTTCACATCTAGAAGGTGTCCTAGGTACTAGGTACTACCCTGGACTGGTTTATGATGCTTCCAGCCTCTCTCTCTGTCTACTCTCTTTGTCCTGACCAAATATATTAACCCTAAATAATTAGGAGATCACTTTGACTCTTTGTCAGTTACTTAGGGTTGCTGTATCTGACACGGTCCATTTGCTCCTCTGATTACAATCCTCTGGACTTGTCTTTCCAACTGTGAAAAAAAGTTAGAGGCCTTTCCCCCCTCCTTTTGGTGGGTATCAAAGGGACCTGATATAAATATCCTGTATATACCACCTGTTCTGAGCTGTCAGATTAGTTACCCAGAACCTGGAAGCTCTTAGGCACCAAGTCCTTGGGGGTACTACATCTTCAAAGATTGAATAAGTTAGAAAGCAAGTACACTGAGGATCTACATTAGTGTCCTATATCTCCCTATGTTAATCACCTGCACATCTGCGTTACTTTTTTTTTTTTGGCGAGGTAATTGGGGTTAAGTGACTTGCCCAGAGTCACACAGCTAGTGAGTGTTATGTATCTGAGGCCGGATTTGAACTCAGGTCCTCCTGACTGCAGTACCGGTGTTCTGTCCACTGCGCCACCTAGCTGCCCCTGCGTTACTTCTAAGGCATGTCCCAGTCAGAACTCCAAGGGTTCTTCACGTGGAAGGGAAAATACCCCTTAAAATTTTTCCTTACTGAGTCCTTGTAATAGTATTGTTAGGCCTACTGTCTGTCCTCCATAAATATGTATTGCCTCAAATACTTGCCTCCATAGTCATTCCACACTGCTACTGGGTCACTGACTACTAAAAATGTGGGTTACTGGCTACTGCTACCATTGCCACTAGATTTTTAGCTGCTGAAAAAAGTGTTGCCTCAATTAGCTATCCTTTCACATCATCCTCAGTCCATCCTTCACTCATCATGATAGCATTAAACTGGTTTATCAGTTCTTGGTCAACAGTAACACACTTGATAATTAGTTGCCAAGTAACCCCTTAAACAGTTATCTTTTTAAACTTTTCAATTTCACAAAATGAACACAGAACAACTATTGCTACACCAGAGGTATATTAAACAATGAAATCATAAATAATTAGTGGGTCAAAGAGCAAATCATAGAAACAATAATTATGTGAAAGAAAATGAAAATAATGAAACAATATATCAAAATTACTAGGATGCTGCTAAAGCAGTCCTGAGATGAAAAATCATACTCTTATAAACATATATTAACAAAACAGAAAAAGAGATTAATGAACTAAATATATATTTTAAAAATTGAAAGCCAACATACAAACAAATCTAAAATAAGGTAAAAATGAGCAAATATTAGAAATCAGAGGAAAAATAAATTAGAAATAAAAAAATCATAGAAATGATAAATTAAACTAAAAGCTGGTTCTTTGAAAAAGAATAATAAAATTTGTAAACCTTTAGCTAATCTGATTAAAAAGAAGAGGGCAGAAAATCAAATCAATAAAATAGCAAATGAGCAAAGTGAAATAATAATAATAATACCAGAAGAAATAAAAAGAACAATCAGAACATATTGCATAGTTATATGGTAACAAAACTGAGAACACAAAAGAAATTGAAGGATATCTTCAAAAATATAAAATACCTAGACTATCAAAAAATCAGATAGAAATTTTAAATAATCTAGTTCCATAAAAGGAAATAGATACAGCTATAAAGGAATTACCAAAAGAAAAACATCTAGTCTTGATGGATTCACAGGGGAATCCTATCAATCATTTAAAGAACAATTAGTACTGATACTGCATGAATTATTCTCAAAAATTAAGAAAGAAAGCACCTTACCAGAACCTTTTTGTGAGACAAATATAGTCCTAATACCTAAACCAGGGAAAGATAAAACATAGAAGGAAAACTATAGGTTAGTATCATTAATGAATATCATTAATAAAATTTTAAACAAAATCCTCTCAAATAGACTACAGTAATTTATCCAAGAAATCATTCATTATGACAAAATGAGATTTAGATCAGGGATCCAAGGAAAGTTCAACATTAGCAATACAATGAACACAATCATTTTAAAAACCAAAACATCTAGAATGACATAATTTTTTCAATAGATAAAAAAAACTTTGAAAAAGCCAGGAGGCTGTGGATTAGATTCAAATGTAATTGGGAAATGTTTAACCAAAAAAAAAAATATGATACAACATAGATAATGTTAATTTGTAGTTTTCTAAGTCAATATGCTGCCTGTAGGGTTTCTATTTGAGTTTGGCACCACAATTCCATAGGACTGCCTCTAGATTTCTTGGCAATATGTAGATAATGAGAAAACACACAGCCTGTTTATCAATTACCCCTTGCTCTTGCCACATGACTGACCTACCTTCTTTCCTAGTCATATATTTGTCTGAAAATGTCCTTTTTACTATTTCTCTTGTATTATTCTTCTTTGATAATGTGCTGCAGCCTATTGATGCCCACCAAGAGTCTTTTCAGGGAAGAAAAATTCACATGTAGACATAGAATAAAACAGCTATTCTCAAAGTGTTCAGGGACCCCCAAGAGTCTTTGAGTCCCATTCAGGGTACCCATGATGTCATAACCATTTTCATAATAATACTAAGCCATAATTTGCTTTTTTCACTGATTCTTTCATGAGTGAGCAATGGAGTTTTTTAGATGATAATTCACACTGATTAAAACAAAAAAGCTAATGATGTGTCTGGACTT